GTGGCGCACATGCGTCAATGGTATTGACTGAAGTGGTATTTATAATATGTCACATAATGATTTATGACTTTTTGCTGGAAATTGCGTAATGAGCGATTGCATCACTATAATGCAACCGGTTCAACCTTTGGGCATCCTACCCCGTCAAAGTTTTGCAATCTTAGCGGTCTGTGACCAATGATGTATAAAAACACTCCTCTTCAACCCCGGCTTCTAGAGTCCTAGTACATTATGTATCATACTGTTTTTTTTAATTTTACGTTTTTCTGTCTTTAGATTGCTGTCCATAATTATAAATATGTATGCATCTGCCACTGGATGTTTCCACACTTACATGCACTAGTCCAGTTTATTAACTTTGAAATTCGCGACAGTTCCTTGAAACCGGAGAATTGTTTCCTCAGCGGAAAAACCGGCCAAATTGCCGTTTTTTGCGTTCCATGCTCAGTTGGTCCAGGCATCAGTTTTTTTTGTGAATGGGGACATGCAGAGGTTAAGTTTGATGCGTTGTTTTTTGCCTTTACTACTTATGGCCTGGACGGGTTCTTATAGAAAATTGCCAAAAAGCATCTGCACAACCTTCAGTTTAGGAGTTTCACGCTTTCTAGCGACCTTCTAGTTTTCGCTGCACCAGAAATAATAATTACATTCTCTCCGATTCCGTTTTCACAGTCACAATTTACAGACGTTGTATGGAAATGAGACGAATGGCGGCGCTGTGGGTAAGGGCGGTAATATTGTCCCGAACGGTTTCAACATGCCTACGCCACCCGTACCCCCTGGCCTATGCAATGCTGGTACTCTGGACACACTTTATGGCACATCAAAAATGGTTAGCATCAATTTGCATACTTATAACAATGATTTTTTTTACGATTTCATTTTCAGTTAAAATAACGATGAAGGAATTTCCCCCCTTCACGAACTGCTCTTTTATGCAAAAAAATGTCCGAGATGCACTATTTTCAAGTGTTATTCGACTACTACACGGACGATGACCATCATAGCGGTCAAGGCGCAATGACCTCGCCATTGCGGGAACCTCTTTCTCTACGACTTGTTCATTCGATTCGATGGCAAATTGGTGCTGGCGCATGATAAGGTGAAGGGATGTTTCCTGACAGTCCTGGCGGCCAATCTGAAATTCTTTTAGCTAGAAGCATCTGCCG